AAAAAAAAAAAAAAAAAAAAAAAAAAAAAAAAAAATGAAAATGGAAATAGAAATAAACCGTTGTGAAAATCTCAATTATTTCATTGTGTGATGCTGTCAAATGGAGAAAAGATCATTGTGCGGATAAACTAGGGTTGAAATACTCCAAAAAACACTTGAGTTACCTTAGATATAAAGCTTTCTGTCGTTTCCTGCAATCTATAGGGTATCAAAGGCATAGGAGTGCATTCATATGCTAATAGACATAACTAATGATAAATAATATACATACATATATGTATAGTTCAGCTTGAAGCTAAAATGCCTATTTAGATAGGGAGACCTTTCGCATCCGGCAGATACAGATATAGATTCATATACAAACACAGATGTAGATACATATACAAGTGTAGAAACAGATACACAGCTCGGTGATCTGATAGAAATTCTCCCACAATAAAAGTGAAGTCGACTGGGACGGGACGGTTATTTGTGCTGTTGGTTCCTGTCGGCAGCAATGTTTTGCTATAATTTTGTATGCCGTTCTGTGCATAATTTATTTTTTCAATGAAAGAGAGTTAAAGGCATCCAATCTCTCGCCCATCTCGAGGTAATGCCCGCATTCCTGTGTATGTGAAAAACGGGTTTGCGTTGCCAGCCAGCGAACAGCGAGCTCCAGCAAGCGAGTTGCAATCACATTGTTTCGTGACCGGGCAGATTGATTAAACGTTCACTCACCTTCTATTCTCTCTCCCTCTCTTTCTGTTTGCCATGTTGCAGAGGCGCTGCTCCAATCGCGTCCATTGCCACACATTCCAGCGAGCACAGCGGCCGCCCTGTTGGCAGATGCCGCTGAGCTACAGAGCCAGGACTCGCCAGTGCTCGCTTCACTAGGCGGAGTGCACAGCTCAGCAACGTCTGTGTTCGAGTCGGCCCATCGCTGGACTTCCAAGGAGAATTTGCTGGCGCCTGGGCCCGAAGAGGATGATCCTCAACTGTTTGTAGCGCTGTATGACTTCCAAGCGGGCGGCGAGAATCAGCTGAGCCTCAAGAAAGGGGAGCAAGTGCGCATTCTCAGCTACAACAAGTCTGGCGAGTGGTGCGAAGCTCACTCCGATTCCGGCAACGTGGGCTGGGTACCCTCCAATTATGTGACGCCTCTCAACTCACTCGAGAAGCACTCCTGGTACCACGGACCAATCTCACGAAACGCGGCTGAGTACTTGCTCAGCTCAGGAATTAATGGGAGCTTCCTGGTTCGTGAGAGCGAAAGTTCACCTGGACAGCGAAGCATTAGTTTAAGGTATACGACACACCTGCTTAGTGCTCACTCCAGAACAACTAATCTCTATTAATTTTTTTTAGATATGAGGGCCGCGTCTACCACTATCGCATCTCTGAAGATCCGGATGGCAAAGTCTTTGTCACGCAGGAGGCCAAATTCAACACGCTCGCAGAGTTAGTGCATCATCATAGCGTGCCTCATGAAGGGCACGGCTTGATAACACCACTGCTCTATCCAGCACCCAAGCAGAACAAACCTACAGTCTTTCCATTAAGTCCCGAGCCAGATGAATGGGAAATATGTCGCACAGACATCATGATGAAGCACAAACTGGGCGGTGGACAATATGGCGAGGTATACGAAGCGGTGTGGAAACGCTATGGCAACACAGTGGCCGTTAAAACGCTCAAGGAGGATACGATGGCGCTAAAAGATTTCCTCGAAGAGGCAGCCATTATGAAGGAGATGAAGCATCCGAATCTCGTGCAGTTAATCGGTGAGAAACTAGCAGTCCAAGCAGCCTTGCTCAGACTCATTTTTTCTCTGTCCTTCCAGGTGTCTGCACTCGAGAGCCGCCCTTCTACATCATCACAGAGTTCATGTCGCATGGCAATCTACTGGACTTCTTGCGTTCGGCAGGCCGGGAAACTTTGGATGCGGTAGCCCTGCTCTATATGGCCACCCAAATAGCATCTGGCATGAGCTATCTGGAATCCCGCAACTATATCCATCGGGATTTGGCGGCTCGCAACTGCCTGGTGGGCGACAACAAACTCGTTAAGGTAGCCGACTTTGGGCTAGCGCGCCTAATGCGCGATGATACCTATACGGCGCATGCGGGCGCTAAATTTCCCATCAAGTGGACCGCCCCAGAGGGATTGGCGTACAATAAGTTCAGCACCAAGTCGGATGTGTGGGCCTTTGGTGTGCTACTATGGGAGATAGCAACTTACGGCATGTCGCCATACCCGGGCATTGATCTCACCGATGTGTACCACAAACTGGAGAAGGGCTATCGTATGGAGCGACCGCCGGGCTGTCCGCCGGAGGTGTACGATCTAATGCGCCAGTGCTGGCAGTGGGATGCAACGGATCGGCCCACATTCAAGAGCATACACCATGCGCTGGAGCACATGTTTCAGGTGGGTGACGGTGATGGTGATGTCGAATTCGAGGTATGGGATGATGATGATGATGACCTCGATGATATCGATGATGATTACGATGGCGACAATGACGACAATGATGACGACAATGGCATTGAGCTTTGATTTCAATTGGTGTCTGCATCACCATCGTCGCTCATGGAATGCCAGCGCAACCAGTGTGATAGTCTCACAATCATCAGTAGTGATAATCGCAATAATGATCCACGTGCTGCACGTCTCTCCTTCTTCGCTCCGCAGGAATCGTCCATCACCGAAGCGGTAGAGAAACAGCTCAACGCCACAGCAACAGCCAGCGGCGGCACAGGCTCCAACTCCGGTTCCATTTCCACAGCAGCGGCTGGTGTAGCGCCCCCAACAGCGACGGCCAGTGCATCCTCCTCAACGTCCGCTTCACTTAGTCTGACGCCACAAATGGTCAAGAAAAGTATGGCCAGTGCTGACCAACAACAGCAGCAGCAGCAACTGGCCAGCACACCCATGTCAGGTGAATCATTGTTTACCACGAATACAACGAACTCAGACTGATTTCGTATCACACTTTCACACAGAAACTGGCTCTACATCGACCAAGCTAAGCACCTTCTCCAGCCAAGGCAAGGGCAATGTGCAAATGCGTCGCACCACCAACAAACAGGGCAAACAGGCGCCAGCACCACCAAAGCGGACCAGGTAAGCCCAAGCAGAGCCCGTCAAGTATTACAAAAAGGTATTTATTCATTGTATATCTTTTCATTTAGCTTGCTCTCTAGCAGCCGAGATTCTACATATCGCGAGGAGGATGCACGCAATTTGATCGATGAGCTCAATACGAATGGTAGTAGTAGAAACTTCCACTCCAACACTTTAAGCCAGACCCTATGTAGAAATTTTAAAACCCAAATTCCAACCCAGACACAAATACGTACACAACAACAACAAAAACAACAGCAACAACAACAGAAAGAACAATTATTACAATCACCTATACTACAACAACAACAACAAACATATTCAATTAAAAAATCATCCTCCTGCAGTAGTTTCCTTTACGACATCCTATTTCGAGGTATTTGTCAATGGAGTAAGAATTCCTATTTACAATTTATGTTACGTTTTAATTGGTTTGTGTTGCACAAGAAACAAACATTTATTTTTCCTCTTTGTACTATTAATTTTATTTTTTATTTTTCCATTATAATTGCGAATTTATTGTGACAAACTATTTAAAATAGGACAATATTAATTAAAATGGTTGACTTTTAAATGGTTTTCATAATGAGTATGTTTCCATTTCAATGCTACATTTGATTGCTTCTTTAGTATAAAATATTTACAACTGGAATCTTTGCCTTTATGCTCTATATGAATCGAATATAATATATTTAAAATTATGAATATTTGTCTTAATGTTTTGAATTTAACTTATTTTTCACAATACCCATTCCGTTCTGTCTGTCCATTAGAGATTCTTTACCCAAAGGAGTCCAGTTTTCAAGTTTGTTAAAATTCAAATAAATCAAATTGTATTGCAACTATTTGTAGGCATTATAGTTAATACAGTCTCTGTCTAGACTTTGGCGATTCCACTGTAAATACATAAACTATAAATGTTTTTTGTTTCATACACTCTTAACAACTGTTATTAATTTACATTTTGGTGTTTTACATAATTATATTTAGTTTGCTTTATGTTTAATTCTTTTATCTTTTTACTATTAATTGGTTTGAGTAGTGATCTTTTAAAGTTTCTTCTGTTTTGTTTTGTTTTTATTTGATTTGATCTGATCTGATTTGGTGTTGACAAATATTGAGCCAACAAATGGGTTTGTCGACATGTCCACAGGTCTTCGCACTGACTAATCCATCCAATTCCATACCCCAAGCACGAGCATGTAGTTCGCCTTTAAATTTCGTTTATACAATAGTGATCTTTGTGGTTACAGGTCTCACGCGTGACATCAATAACTTGACGCAGCGATATGACTCAGAAGTCGACCCGGCTGCTGATCCGGATACGGATGCCACTGGAGATAGCATAGAGCAAAGTTTGACTACAGTTACACCGCCTAACAAGATGCAGCACTCACTACATGCAGGTGTCTCGAATCTGACAGGGGGAATCGGTCCACGATCCTCACAACAACACAGTTCATTCAAACGTCCGGTGATGGGCAATCGCGGCCTGGAGACACGTCAAAGCAAGCGCTCGCAGCAGCCGGCACCGATCAATGTGACTACCAATGGCAATGCCAGCACACCGGTGCTACCTGCTCATCCCATCACTGTGGGTGCTTTGGAGGTGATGAATGTTAAGCGAGTGGTCAATCGCTATGGAACCTTACCCAAGGGTGCACGTATAGGTGCCTTCCTGGATAGCCTAGAGGACAGCAGCAGCAGCAATAGCAGTGGCGCCGGGACGGGCTCTGAGGCACCAGTCAATGGACATACTACCCCTGCAGCAGCCACAACAGCTGCAGGTCGTGCTTTGCCCGCTGTCCCCGCCTTGCCAACGGCGACTAGCAAGGCGCAACAGGTACCACAACAGATGATTCGAAGCAATTCCTCTGGGGGCGTGACCATGCAGAACAATGCAGCGGCCAGTTTGAATAAGCTACAGCGACATCGCACAACAACGGAGGGTGCCATGATGACCTTTTCGTCGTTCCGTGCTGCTGGCAGCAGCAGTTCACCTAAACGTGGTGGCATTACACAGCCGGCGCTGGCTAATCTGGAGTTTCCACCGCCGCCTTTGGAGGAATTCGAAGCATTGCCGCCACCACCGCCACCGCCAGCGCCAGAGAGCGCTGTCCAGGCCATACAGCAGCATCTACATGCTCAGCACAGCAGCAGCAACGATGTTAGCAATACTGCACCCAGTGTCGAGGAGGCCAGCTCCCGGTTTGGAGTCTCGCTCCGCAAACGTGAACCCTCCACGGATTCGTGCAGCTCACTGGGCACACCACCCGAGGCGTCAGTATCAGCAGCAACAGCAGCAGCCGAAGAGAAGGGTCTAAATCTTAAGGAGAAACTCATCACAGAAATCAAATCAGCGGGCAAGCCATCCGATCCATCTATAGGCTATACCAATGGTGGTGCTCCAGTCGTTGTTGACCCTGTTGCCCAATTGGTTACCGAGCTGGCCGAGAGCATGAATTTGCCTAAGCCCTCAAAACTGACTAATGGCAATTGCAGCACCAACACCAACACCAACACCAACACCAACGCCAACAACAGCAACAGCAGCAACAACAACAACTTCAAGGCACAGTTGAAGAAAGTGGAGACAAAAAAAATGAATACGCCCATTCCAAAGGCTGAACAGCCCACAAACATAATAGACTTCAAGGCGCATCTACGCAAAGTGGACAAGGTCGAGCAGCAACAGCCCAAGGAGCAAAGTCTTCAACAACAGCAGCAACAATCGCCAAATGCCAATTGCAATATAGCGCGCAGGGATGAAACCAAAAAGTTTAGTGCCGCAAATCAAAAGACTGAAATCAAAATCGATGTTAGCAACTCCAATGCGGATGCGGATGGAGGCGACACGGCCACAGGCACAGGCAACAGTTCAGACGGCGGCAAGCGACGCAGCACAGGTAGTATTAATAGCTTAAAAAAACTTTGGGAGCAGCCTAGTGGTGACTATGCCAGCACCACAATCCCACAGACCATGGCAACGAGCAATGGTGGCGGCGCCAGCGCCCAATTGTCGCCCAAATATGGCTTCAAAGCAACACAACAGCCATTGGGTAATCTTACTGGGTATAGCAAAGTGTTTGGTAATAAACCGCCGCCAGCGGCACCACCACCACCGCCCCCAATTAGCAGCACTCCAAGCACCACAGCACAGCCCAAGCCAGCGGTAGCTGCCGCAACCAAATTAGCAACCACAGCAATAAAAACATCTCTTTCAACGCAACTCTTCACAGATGCCGAGGGCAGCAGCAGCAATGAGGAGCAGCAGCAGCAGCAGACAGGTGATCAGGCGGAGCTGATGACGCAGTCGCTCTATGGTGATCAGTACAATAACTCCAACGCCAACTCCTCGAATCAGCAGTCGCCTCTACCGAGCAATGCCAACAACAAGCTCAGCACCTCTTCCACCAATAGTCAGAATAAGCCTGCCGTGCCGCATAAGCCCACCAAGTTGACTATCTATGCCACGCCCATTGCCAAAATCGCTGGGATCGGCGTCGGCGGCGACAACATCAACTCGACACAAATTACTAGGGAAAGCATTTTGGAGCTGGTGACATTACTGGAGGGGTCACTGAAACATCCAGTGAATGCAATCTCTGCCTCGCAGTGGCTACAGCTCAGCGATAAGTTAAATATCCTGCAGAACTCGTGCGTGGTCTTTGCGGAGAACGAGTCGATGCCACCGCACTCGAAATTCCATTTTCGCGAGCTTGTAACCCGAGTGGAGACGCAGTCACAGCATCTGAGAACTGCCGGCAGTAAAAATGTGCAGGATAATGAGCGATTGGTTGGCGAGGTGGGTCAATCACTCAAACAGATCTCGAATGCGCTGCATAGGTAAATGATAAGAACGGGGATGGACGCACAGCGGAGCGGTGTTGCGCCAGCTGACAACAACAGCGCCGGCATATGGCTAGATGCCGAAGGCAACTTTATCAAGCGCAAGCAGCAGCCCCACTGAGAAAATATACATACAAATATGTATCCATATGTATGTATTAATCGCACACATTCCTCCCACCATCCCCGTCACCCACTTCCAGCGAAGGCGGACGACAGAAGACAACGAACTGGAAACGGATTAAACGATAGCATAACTACAACTTGAAAGCCCAGCGATGAAGCTCAGAAACATACAAACAGCAACATAACAAAAAGGAAAATACAGCTATAATTAATTATTTACTATATACATATACTATATCGTAGTTGGTAGCATGTAACTCCAACTGCAATAGTATTTAGTAGTCGTAGTGATTATACATACATCTAGTCATAAATCTGATGCATCTGCTTATATTTAGAGATAAACAGAGGGAGAGAGAGAGAGAGAGAGAGAGAGAGAGAGAGAGAGAGTGGGCTTCGAAACTGAGTTGCAAAGCAAAATTTTTCTATATAATGACGTCTTCTACTATTTTCTTTGATTTCAATTGTGAATAATCTTTAAACATTACACATTACTCACATTATTCTTTTGGTTTTTAGCCACTTCTTTTCAAGTAAGCTTAAGCTTTGTTCTAATTAATATTGAAAGACATATAAGTGCATATAGAGAAGGTTGGTAAGGACAACTTCATGATCAATATAAATATATATATATACGCTATATATATATATACGCTAGTCGGTAAAAGTGTTTTTAGTATCCCTATACAAGATATATATATATAATGTCATGCAATGTCCGTTCTAAGCAGGAAAACTCAATCTACAACGTTTAGAATTTTCTTCGTGTTTTTAGTACTCGTAATACCTACATAAATATATTGATCTATGTGTACTACTTGGCATAAATTTAAACAGTAGCGAAACCCAAAGATATTATTAACGACTTCTCGATAGAAAAAGGAAAAATTAAAAAAAAAAGTTGCAAAAGACTAAAGCTTAATATTATTACGTTGAACATTGCAAGCTAAAAATAAAAATAAACTGGTGGCAAACGCTTTTTAAACACATACTTATACACAAAAACAAATTGTAATTATTATCTGATATTTTATGGATTTTAAACTACTTTTATACGTAAAAATACACACATACAAACACAATTAAACGAATGAAAAAAACCAAATAAATATTCATTTCATATACATAGTCTCGGATCAACATTAGGGCGGGTCATATAACATTAAAGTTGGCATACATATAATATAAATGTGCAAAACAAAACCTTTTTCAAAAAAAAAAAAAAAAAAAAAAAAAAAAAAAAAAAAAACCCCCCCCAAAAAAAAAAAAAAAAAAAAAAAAAAAAATTGAAATGCTAAAAGAG